AGCTGATCTTAAGTTTTACTGAATCTTTAGGTTATGAAATAATCAACTAGAAGAACATTTTGATTTTAATAAGTTAGCCCTTATGGTAGCGTTATGTATAGGTTGCTGTGTTACTTATTATTTGAGGCTGTGTTGCTTGAAGTCCCTATTTTCTATTCTCTGGACTCTCTCAACCATAACCAGAGCCTCTAGGTTCTAGTGTTTATGGGATGAATTATTTGACAACCTGGCAAGGTAGATATCTAGTTGGCCAACTTGGCAACAGAACCTACTTTTAAGGTGTCCTGAAGTGAACTGCCTTCATTATAACACTAAAAAACACACCCACAGGTCAAGAAGACCCTTGCCCAGGTGAAGACCCTTCCCCCGCGCAAGCGTAGTAACAGAAGAGAATGACATAACCGATATTATAATTATATGTAAATCACTAACCAATCATTTTAACTGGGAGTGTACAACCTTATAATTCTTGTGTATAAATGTAACGGTGATCTAGCCATAGGTGTGCTTGATTTGTGGAAATTCCACCTCGCACCCGGCGCCGCAATAAAGAACGCCTGCTTTCTAAAACTTCAAATTGAGTCTTAGAGAGTTCTTCATCTGCCGATTTACGGTAACAGTAGCGTTCTGAACCATTTCAAGCGTGGCGGAGTTGTTTGCGACGGCCTTCTCCAGCTCAGGAACGCCCGACTGTGGAAACGGCGATTGCGTGAGGCGATGAAAAGTCGTCGGCCCTTCTACCAGGGGATTAAAAGCATCTTGTTCACGGCATTAAAGGGCTGTCGCAGAGGTTCCTGCCCACGGAGGTGGAGGACTCTCGCAGACATCAGCGCCCCAGGGCCAGAGGCGGGCGTTGGAACGGTGGGCTGCCACCCCACCTCGAACCACGACGACGCTGTCGGAGAGAGGAACCGTGTTTTATTAAGCACCTTGTGACCCAGTCGGGCTGCTCGGAAGGGTCAGTCGTCGTTCGGACGGCAGGTTTCCAAGCTGCTGTCGGTACTCGACCGTTCCTTCGTCAATTGTAACGTGTGGAACCGGGACCGGTCAATTTAGAGTATTTTAAGCAGTTTGTGCCAAACGTTCAGAGTGAGGTTCCCGGACTCCGTTTATTTCAGAACGGTGGCGTTTTGTCACCGCGGATTCATCCCTACAGCTGGGCTCCTTAGACTTGCAAGGACTCCTTGGAGTCCAATCGCTGGAGCCTTGGAACTTTCTGGTCCTCATAATTATTACAATACAATTATCTAAAGCCAAAAGCTTTATCCATTTGGCTTCCCGTGGGCGTTTGCCGATTGTTTAGGGCACGTAGTGCTGACCACAGGGGCTCATCCCCATTGTGTCCCCTGTCCTCATCTTTGTTCTAGACCGCTCCACCGCTTCAGTCAGGCGGGAAGTCCACTCCCATGCTTGAAGCAGGAACCAGACCGAATTTCTTGTGGTAACGGCAAACCAGCGGCCCACGCCTGCAATAGGGAAATCTTTCCTGTTCCACTGGTGCCCATCCCTTACCCGACCCTTCCCCTCCGGGTTTCAGGTGGGGCGAGGGCAGGATATCCAGCCAATTGCTGGAGGGTGGCAGTAGGCAACTCACTGATCCGTTTGCATTTTAACCCTTTATTTAAGCATAACCTCCACAGAAGCCGCTGCTGCCATCCGCATTGTTGCCCCTTTTGCAGGCGAGCGGGACTCGTCATCCCCCCCCAGCAGCAATCCCGGGGTACAGACTATTAACCGTTCCGGGTTTAGCCCTTAACAGCCGATATAAAGGTAAATCTGCCATGAAATGATCCAAAGCTACACTAAAGCTGTCGTCTGCTCCTAATCCAGCCCGAACAGCTAATGACGTGGGTTTGAAGTGGGTTTCTGCACCTTTCACCATCACACTCCCGAGAGGACACAGGAACAGCACGCCGGAATCCCCACTTCTGACTCTTAAGCAAGAGGCACCAACAGTAGCGTCCAGGATTTTTCATATTCCGGGACTAACCAAGTGATCAACTCACAAAGAAATGCACACCACGCAAAAAAAAAAAAGCGAAGTTTATTTAGTTCTCTACTGCAGCCAGGTACGTTTACAGTCAGTCAATACTTTAAGGCCTTATTTCAGGTAACACTGCTCTTGCCCACATCCCATGAGCCACCCCCCTCCAGTATCAGCTTCCCCCCGGCATGTCCTCGCCACGCCATCGGGTCGCATCACGTCTTCCCCGGCAGCTGGCATCAAGGGTGGCCCCACTGATGGGTGGTGTTGGTGCCTGTCTGCTGACAGCAAGTCCACACAGAGAGCACGCGGCTTCTTTCTTCTTATTCCTTTCTCACACCCCGGGCTCCCCCACCCTTTGAGAGCACCCCGAAGGTAGCTCTCTCCTGATGGGCCAGGCCACCCAGTGTCCTGCCCTTGACTTTGGGGCACCTTTCGGGCGTGTACATGCCCAATTCACCACAGCCCCGTGGCTCCATCTGCTTTCCTCGTGTGCAAGCTCACCCACGCAGGCTCAGCCCCAGGCCCTGCTTCGTTGTACCACAGAACTCAGCAGCTACCTAACCCACCGGGCGACCAGGCACGCTCCCGCCTTTTCTTCCGATACAGGCCGACTTAACAGGCAGTCCCCAGCGTGAGGCACGTGCTATCGGGAAGCCACCGAACGCAGGCATGTCCTCCTGCGGCCAGCCCGTTCTGATCTCTGCCGCTAGCTTTTGATTACACGTACTGCATGAACTGAACCTTAGCCCATCACCCGTTTATAATTATCCGGGCTGGTACTCTCAATATACTCACCCTCCTCCCGCTAGACACGTGGATTCTTTGTTGTTGGCACCTCGTCACAATCGGTCACCAGCGTCTGCAACAATTTATAAAAAAAATTAGAAAATTAAGAAAGCTTACTACTTGGCAGGAAGCACATGACCCATTAGATACGCGGTGATCAGGTAAAGTCCAGCCGCACGTTCCCAGTCCTAACCAAGCGTGACACGTGCCTACCACGTGCCTTCCCCCCAGGACAGTCCCAGCGCTCCACCACCCACACCAACGACACGTTTTTCTTCACAGGAGGCAAAACGTCCGCTCGGGACTGATTAACGCCAAAGAACGGGTGATCACAGGGCTCTAAGCCAGGCCCTTCATGACTTTCCACTAAGTTTGTTTCCGCTTCCCCCAATTCCCATATCACACAAATAAGGCCTCAAGCTAATCAAACAAATATCGCTCACCTCCACTTCACCAAGGATTTTCTTTTTCCTCCCTCCTTAAGATTCAGGAACCCGCCTCTTTCCCCCGCCCACCCAAAGTCCAACAAGATCTTAGAAGCTAGGGAACGCCTAAGCTAAGCTTTCGCTGTTAAACAATGCCTACAAAGTCTGCACTGGTATTCCATCTCTTTTCACACCCCGGGCTTCCGTAAGCCACTTAGAAATAGCTCAAGCTTATTTAAAGTATAAACCATTAAGAGAACCGTGCAGCTAGGCACAGCCAACAGTATTACGTTATTAGCGCAGTATTACTCACCTTCCGCATCGGTGCCCCACGCACTTCAAACTTCGCAAGTTTAGAACTAGAAAGAATAAAGGAAAACTATTTTAAGTC